AAGGCCTGAGACAAAGCGCGCCCGCCCATTAGGCTACGGGTAGCCCAAGACAAACCGACTGCCTGCTGCTGCCGTTGGTCGTCCACATCAACAGGAGAGCTGTCGGAATCTTCCCCATGATAATCATGATCACAACCAGCCTCCGACCGTTATTGAGCGGCTCGCGCTAACCCCGCGTTGAAGCGGTCAACGTTCGCAACACCAACGCTCCGCTTGCTGCCATTCTCAGCAGCTGCCTCGCCTTGTACGGGCGGCAGCAGCCTCGCCCCCGTCTGGGCTCCGGAAAGCAGGCCGACGCGCTGGCTCCTTCCCGTTGCGCAATTTTCGGCCGTGGCCGTCTCCAGCATGTCATCTGCCATGCTATGCGTGCTCGCCGTATGTGATCGTGTGTGTCTCGACAGTCGGAGAGAGAGCAACTATTATAGCGCTGTGTGGTTGCCAGCCAAGTAGGTGGAGCGTTGCCGAAGCCTTCCATGCGTTGAGACTCCAAAACAGATTTTCTGGACACGGACAAAAAAAGTCCTTGGGGACTTTCGCCGCGATACAGATTTTTCGGTAATTCAAAATCGCCGTTCACCGGCTTCCGGGCCTCTTGGCCAATCAGAGCCCAATTTTGATTTTTGATTTCCTGGAAACAGATTTTTCCGATTCCGATAAGACAGGCTCTAAGAGCAAAAAACATGCAGAAGAAAAGACAAAATAATACCGCAAAGAATGGCTGAAATATCTACACAGCGAGTAGTGCCGCAAAGAAAGGTTCGCTTAATACTGACGCCCTGGTGGCGATGAAAGTAATGAATGGTGATACGCGGCAACCAACAAATAGTTCCCTGACTGTCTTAGGGTTTGAATTGAAGAATGCGTGGCTCGACGTCGAAAATCGACGTTATTCCTATCGTTTACATGGCATGGCGTCCACATGTATGTGAACGTTGATGTGGCGTCCAGATCGTTCAAACAAACACTGATCTGGCCGTGTACACACGCCACAATAGATGTATGTGTGTGCTGTACAGCAGCCTAGAACTAACCGTTGGTTGTCGCTCTGTGTACGTACGTACGACTGTAGTACCGCATGTCTACAATGCCTCACCATACTCATCCAACATCCGAACACTACCATTGCTCAAGCGTGACATTACATGTTCCGTTGGTCAAGCATTCTGGCGGTCAAGGGCAGCCCGAGGCTGTCGTACTCAGGCTCACATAAAGGTTTGCAGCGTGCGCAAGAGGAACAAAAAACAAAAAAAATCTCCGTCTCTATTTTCAAGTAGTGCGACGGAATGAATCCTTCGAGTACACGCCAGGACGACGTCAGGGCTGCGTGAAGCCGGACGTAAGGTTCGCTGTGACTTCCTCCATAAGAGTAGACATTGTGTTTTTATGAAGCAAGCGTTGTGCCCGCAAACAGGGTGTCAAACGCGCCCGGGGCGAGACCAAAATGTGATAAGTCTGTAACTGCTGTAGGGACGAAGAGTTTTTCCTTCCTAGCCCTAGCGTTGTCACCCAATGCTCGGTGAGTAGAGTAGTCTATTCAACAAAACTTGGAATCGGTAACAACTCCCACATGATAACGTTGTCGCCTTGTTTAGAAAGGAATTCAGAGCCAACAGCAGCAGTGCCTACCCACCATTTCTTCTCCTGGCAGTAATGGCATGAATTGATGAGAAATGGAGAGTTACTTGCACGCGAACCGTTTGCACAGCCTCGCACCGATCATGATTGTAGACTCACCGTGTCGATCCCTCCATCGTGTACAAACATCTGCCGGAAACGACTCCACGAAAGAAAAGTATGTAGCTAGGCCTAACCTTCGTACGGAGGGCTATACAGTCTGCTCATCGTTCATCAGGGTGTTGAGACCATACCTGAACTTAGGGTTTTGGATTGTTGTTGAATCTTGCTGCTGATGCCGAGCCGGAGAAATGATCAGGAAGAGGTTGTGGATGGGTGTGTATTGCAAATAGAGCATTGCCTCAAAGGTGATTGTCACCATGAAGAATCGTTCGGGGCAGAACGGGTTGACTACTACAACAGTTTTGTACTTGTGTTTCTTAATGCAGACCAATTGATGTGTTGCGCGAGAAGCTTTTGCGTTTCATCAGTGCTGAACGGCCCCAAGTCGCAAGCGAGTAATCGACGACGGTGAAAAGGGAGATGAAGATGACGAAGCTGGAGAGCTGCCACCTGTAGCCATTCGGCTACCCTGCCAGGGTGGGGAGATTTCACCCTGTCAAGGTCACCCTGGAAGACTACGCTGCAGGCTTGACCCAATGGCAGGGTGGGTACCCTGCCAGGGTACTGATCCCACACCCTGTACGTACCCTGCCACTCAGGGACCCTGGTAGGGTGCACACCCTGGGAAATACCTGTGAAGACCGTGTCAGCCAAGCGGTACTGACGGGGCCGAAAATTAGGATATTTTCCTGTCGATATTTGTTTGGTTGTTTTCTCTTTGTATCTTTTGTTTCGTTTGTCGTTTTTTGTTCTTCCTTTGTCGTCCCTTGCAGCAGCATGTACTGTAGTGCTCCTAGACGTACAAACACGCTCAAGCTCATCCACGCAATATATGTCGCCTTTTGACACCCCCCCGCCCCCCGCCCTGATCCGTGCCTTTCCTTGCTTCCCCCTCCCTTCGTAACATGTACAACTCCGGCGCGTCAATTCCATCAACAAAACTATGAGGGGACCTCAAGGCACCCTATATATACCTCCCCTACAGGGTACNGCCAAATTATCTGATTCCATCGAAAAAAGATCAAGATCTATCTATAAAACTGCGACGAAGAATTATTCTTCCGATAGAACAATTAAAAACCAACGCGATGAAATTCTCTCGATGGAAAAAAATTAAAAACAAAAGAAATTGAAGGACACTTTGAGTAACTTACCACCCAAGAAGAACTGCCACGATGAATTTTCTCTCGATGAAATAAATTTATAAAAATTAGTTGAAGGACTCTAAGTTGTCGAGGAAAACTGTTACAACGTAGTCAGGCACAGTTTACCATAGGTGCGACTGCGGCAACNACTTTGAGTAACTTACCACCCAAGAAGAACTGCCACGATGAATTTTCTCTCGATGAAATAAATTTATAAAAATTAGTTGAAGGACTCTAAGTTGTCGAGGAAAACTGTTACAACGTAGTCAGGCACAGTTTACCATAGGTGCGACTGCGGCAACTAGC